CATCCACTGGGATTACATAGAATGCACAGAGTCAGCCACCACCTGCTGGACACCTTGGGGCGCTTCCTCAATAAACCCTTGCCTTGGGTCTCACAAAAAGATGGCGTTTGGGTTTTCCCCCTCCCAGAGAGGGGTGTAGTTTCATGACTAAGGGCACAGTACTCTGTCATCAGAAAGCCAGGGTTCACGGGCGGCCTCTCCCACTGTGGGGCAGGGGTTGCTGACTCTAACTACAGCTTCCTTCTCTACGTTAATAAATTGTAAATAACAATTGTAACATCTCCTCTGTGAGGTGTGAAAGGCAGTATCGCAAAGTCCACATGTGGTTAATATTAGTTATTGTTCCCACTGGGTTTCTCATGAAGGGGTAGCACGTACCACTTGGCCATGTAGTTTGAAGTGCTGTGTGCACAGCTGGATGGGGTGGAGCAGCAAGTCAGCCCAACTCGGTCAGCTCTCCTTCAGACAAGTCTCCAGTCTAAGTCCACCAGAGTCCTGCCCAGCAGCGCTCCAGTCCTGGCTTCTTTCAAGAGACCTGAGTGACAGGCATTCATCGGTGGTGGTAGATGCCTTTGGATGTGGCTGGGGATGGGAAGGGTGAGGAGTGGAGGCAGGGGTGGGGGGTGGAGTGTAGGGGTGGGGAGTGGAGTGCAGGCCAGAATGAAGATACCGGCATGTGTGCTCAGCTGCTCCGTCGTGTCCGACTCTTTGAGACCCCATGGACTGTAGCTCACCAGGTTCCCCTGTCCATGGAATTTCCCAGGCAAGCATACTGGAGTGAGTTGCCATTTCCTTCTCCATTTGTTTAAAAAAAAAGCACAGTTCTCTGCAAACGCTGACACTCCTGCTCCACACGCACCGACAGGCCGTGGGAGGCAGCGGTGCCCCAGCTGTGTGCTCTGAAGGACAGCCCCCGAGGACAGCCCCAGGGCAGGGAGCTGTGTGTGAGAGGACCACGTCTTGTGTCATCAGAGAGGGAATCCAAGAAAGTAGCTCACAGCATGGGTCGCTGGCCAGAGAAGCCCTGCATTCGACCCAGGTGCCCAGGCTCTATCCCGAGGCATATCAGAAGATATGCCCTCCCCAAAGGGTAAGGTTGAGATCAACTGACAAGGGATGCTGTAGCACTTTGCCAGGAAGGGCTCTGGTGGAGATCCTAAGATGATGGAGGGAAGGGGCTCATCTCTCCTCTCCAGCCCCCTCAAGGCTGACCCCTTGCCCGTCTCCAGGACTCATTCTGTGGGGTCCATCCTGTGATGGGCCAGCGTGCTCAGGTTCTGAAATGTATGAGTCAGAGGAGAAGAGGTGGGATAGCCTCTGTGTTAGCTCATTCCATCTTCCTGAGAACTCTGCAGGAGAGATCTTTTATTCTGCTTTACAGAAGGGGAAGCTGAGACTTAGAGACGAAGGATAATGTTGCCAAGATCACACTGCTAGCAGGTGGCTGGATCTGCACTCAAGGCTCTGACTCCAAAGAGCCAAGCTCTTTACGACTGGTCCCTCATCCCCTTACATTGTGCTGGTTTGCACCACGGGTGTAGACAATGTAGTTGGCAGGCAGTGGTGTCTTGTAGCCTTAAGGAAGGCATGTGTGGGAGAAAGGGGGGCGTGGAGGGGAGAGTGCTGGGCTTCACCCAAGCTGCTTCCATGCCTGCCTGCGCAGCAGGGCTGCCTGTGTGCACAGGCCAAGTGAACTGAGGCTTCCTCCAGCATTAAGATGCAGAAGTTGTTTCTGAAACACCAAGGTTTTGAGAACATGGCTTTGAAAACAGAGAAAAGAAGCACACGCAAAGGGTTCGTTTATCCTTTTGTACTCAGGAAAAAGTCAAACAACTTGTTCTAGAAGATTAGAATCCCCCAGCCCCTACCCCACACAGGCAAGCTCATCTGTCCATTTGTTAAAAAAAAAAAACCAAACACATTTCTCTGCAAATGCTGACACTCCTGCACCACGTCCACCCTCCACACTGGATCTGAGGCCATGGCTGCCACATGGAGAGCTTGTAACTGCAGCTGCCTCTTGGATCAAAACCTGAGGGACTCGACATTTGAGAGCCATGCCAGACTACAGTGTCACTTGAGAGACTCAGAGGCGTGTTCCAGAGCACTGTCTAGGAACCGGGACTCCAGCCTGAGGCACAGTCAGCAAAAAGAGAAATGGCATCCATGAGAAAACATCATCCAAAGGGTCAAGGGACAGTGGAGAGAGGACTGGACTTGGAGCCAGGGCACCAGCTCTGGGAGTCTGGTGAACATGCCTGGCAAGTGCCTTCCTTTCTCTGGGTCTCAGCTCTGCAAGCACTGGATCACAGTTCCAAAGCTCTCATCCTGTCTGAACCCCACTCCAGTTTGGGGCCTGATTACCTGTGGGATTCTGGTGCGCCGGAGCTGGAGCTGTGACCAAGGCCAAAATGAAGATACTTGCGTGCGTGCTTAGCTGCTCAGTCACGTCCAACTCTGTGTGACCCCATGAACTGTAGCCCGCCAGGCTCCTCTGTCCATGGAATTCTCCAGGCAAGAATACTGGAGTGAGTTGCCATTTCCTTCTCTGGGGAATCTTCCTGACCCAGGGATTGAACCCACATCTCCTGCATCTCCTACATTGGCAGCTGGATTCTTTACGACCGAGCCACCTGGGAAACTCCACAGGAAGTGAAGATGCGGGAAGCCAAACCCTGGGGATTGCCCAGGGGGTGCTCCAGCCAGAGGCACTGGAAGCAGGCATCAGAGCCAAGGACAGAGAATCTGGGAAGCTGCAGGCAGAGCAGGGAGACTGCGGCGTCAGCCCACATGGAACCCTCTGCACCAGGCTCAACGCTCAGTGTACATTCACTCCTTTCCGTCACACAGCCAGGCCACGAGTGAGTTTTCTGGGGAAACTGAGGCCAGAGCATTTAAGTGATGTGCTCACTTTTCAGACAGCAGCCGCCAGGATGGAAAAGCCAGGGCTGAGCCCAGCTGACCCGGCTCCCGCGTCTGTGCTCCTCTCCGCTGGCCGTTCTGCCTGTTGGGGTTGGTTGGGGCCATCACCCCCGAAAGCCCCAGGGAGTCCACAACTGGGGGCTGGCTGGCTCAGTCCGGCTTAAGGGACAGGACCCGGACAGTCGCAGCTGCGGCCGTCCCATGACTCAAACCAAGGCACAGTGACAGATGGGAGTCTGACTGTCATCCTCTCCAAGAGGGAGAAGCTGTCCAGCCTTCTTGCAGGGCTGAGTCAGTCATCTTGCAGACTGTCTCACTGAAACCTCTTCCCTGAGCCACGTTTCCCAGCGTGTGGAGGAGCCACCGGGGTCCCCCTTCATCTCTGTTTGCAGAGAGGCTTTCCCCCCGCCCATCGCCACCTCCTGCCAGAATGGAAGATCATGGATTTCAGAAATGAGTTAAATCTGGAAGATGAATGTATTCATGTGCCCATCAAGGGGTCATGAATCATTGGCCCAAATCACTGCCTTCAATCCTGACAGGATGAATTCCCTCAAGCAGAGTCTCCTTATCAGACAGACACGGAGGCGGTGCTACAACGAAGCCCGGGCCACCAACAGCATCATTATCTGCAGCAGGCTGGTTTCCATTTCCCAAGCTGCCTTCCCTTAATTTGAAGCTCACTTCTGATGCTGGAGAGGACAAAAAATAAGAAAATAAGACATATGTACAAAAGGAAGAAAGAAAAGGGAGCAAGAAAGAAAAAAAAAATGGGGAAGCTTTCATGCCAAATGGAAAGGAGACAAGATAAATGTACCGAATCTGATTTCAAACACTGTTTGAAAACCCTGTCCAGGATCGTCAGCAATGGCCCTGGCATCCACAGGGAATGTGTCACTGCCAAAGGCCTGCTACGCTGAACCCTGCAGGCCCGGATCCTGCCTCCCGGTGACTTGTTTAGAGCTACTTCAAACCAGAACAAATCACAGCCAACGAGCATCTCCCTCTCCAGCCCCTCAATCACTTGTAATCAGACCGTGTATTTTAGCAACAAAATCTTCCCTAGCTGAAGAGCTCATTCATCTGCCTTCTGCAAGCTTGACGCCCTTTAAATGGGAGATGAGGGGAAGCCACCTGCCTCTCTGGCAGCCAGGGAAGCCAGGAGAAGGACAGAATTACCACCCCATGCCCTGCCCCATAGATCGCCTGTGGGAGCCCAGACCGCAGGGACCTGCAGGTAAGGAGGACACCAGACCAAAAGGGACAGAGAAAGGTCATTGGATTCCACACATCCTGCACTGGGCACCCGGCCGTGGTCTCTGGGTTTCAGTTCTGTCGCTACCATCTTCTAGCTAGGTGACCCCAAACAAGTTACCTAGCTCTGTGTGTATAGATGCAAACCCATGGAAACCATGCATAGAAGAAGCAGAGAACCAGGACTCGGGTGGACTGACTTTGATTTTTTTTTAATATTTATTTATTTGGCCTCGTCGGTCTTAGCTATGGCATCCGGGATCTTTTGCTTCATCATGTGAGATCCTTTGGTGCCACGTACGCTCTCGAGTCGCGGCATAGGGCTCAGCAGCTGTGACACAGAGGCCTGAAGCACGCAGACCTCGGTAGCTGTGGCGCGCGCTCAGCTGCCTCACGGCACGTGGAGGCTGTTCCCAGACCAGAGATGGAGCCTGCGTCCCCTGCTTTGCAAGGTGGATTCTTAACCACTGGACCACCAGGGAAGTCCCAGATTTCTTGCTCCAACTCCTGCCCAACAAATCACTTCGCTTCTCCACCCTTCACTTTTTAATCTGTAAAATAGGGACAGTAATTCTTACCCATAAAGTGGAGACAGTAATACCTACTTGGCCTCTCTCACAGGGTTTTGTAAGAATCAAAGGAGCAAGAGAGATGGATGGACACACTTGAGATTTTATAAGTGGAAAGCAGAGGTGTCATTTCAGCGTTAAGAACCTTGTAGGAACACTCACACCCTGGGATCAGGAGAGTTTGTCTGCCTACAGCTGCACGCTCAGAGCAGGGCAGGGCTCCCGCCTGGTGCCCGCCCAAGCCCCGCCCGTTACCAAGGATACCCGCACATCAGAGGCTCCGGGGTTATAGGAGAGGAGATCTGGGTCTTGTGCAGAGGGGGGGGCTTGGAAGGTGTCCACGGGGGTCCTTTCACACTTCTGCAGGACCGTGTGCAGGAACAGGGCACTGTCTGCTCTGTCTGGGACCAGGGGTCAGAAGTCAGCTGAGGCCTGCAGGGAAAGAGGCTTCCTGCCGCCCCTGATGCCAAAGCGGAAACGGGCTGTTGAGGATGCAGACAGTCCCCAAACCACGTCTGAAGTGCTGCCTCCTGTACCCCTGCCTGGTACACAGTGTCCCGTGTGGGGGTGAGGAGGGAAGAGAGGGCGGAGGCTGAGGCCCCAGACCACAGGTAAGATCCTGTAGGTCTGTTTCTAGAGCCCATCAGCCTGCCTGGACCCACAGGCTGCCCTGGAGCCCAGGCCCACTAACACTGCCTCAGCCAGAACCGGAGGCTGGAAGAAGCACTGGGACAGGAGCCAGACAGAGCCCGCTCACTCCTCTTTCCTCTAGCAAATGTCGCCTCTAAAAATCTGGCATCGGTCTATTGGTGGAAATGGAAGCAGCAATTGAAACGAGCTAATACAGGGACTTCCCTGGTGGCCCAGTGGCTGAGGCTCCGCACTCCCAAATGCAGGGGGCCTGGGTTTGATCCCGGGTCAGGGAACTAAATCCCATGTGCCACAACTAAGGCTTCACATATCACAACTAAGACCCAGCACAGACAAATAAATAAACAGCCCATCAGGCGTCTCTGTCCATGGGGATTCTCCGGGCAAGAATACTGGAGTGGGTTGCCTTGCCCTTCTCCAGGAAATCTCCGCAACCCAGGGATCAAACCCAGGTCTCCCACATTGCATGTGGATTCTTTACCGTCTGAGCTACCAGGAAAGCCCATCAATAAATAGTAAATAAAATAAAATGAGCTAGTACACAATACCAGACATACAGCCAGTGCTCAGTAAAGGCTATTATGATTACACTGGCGAATGAAGTCATTGTAACATACAATGCATTCATCTTTGACTGTGACCTCTCACCCAAAGACGCTAAGAAGGCCCTTTTCTCCCCCATCTAATGGTGGCACCTGCTTAGGTTTCTCACATCTCAAATGAGATCAGGGCAAGTAAGGTCCTACCACTGCCCAACTTGTCCTTTATCTCTATAATGAGTCCCCCATCATTGGAAGTCAACAAGTAGCATATTTCTGGTCACACGTGGAAGAGGAGGCAGTAGACAGGAGGAATCAAAGTGCTTTCCCACCCTAAGATTCTGTGATGCTCAGGACTGTGGGGTGGGCATGAACATGTGATGGGTCTGGGAGCGGAGAGGGAGAAGTTAGAATACTGTGAGCGGGAGGAGGAGAAGAGACTGGAGAACCCAAGGCCAAGCTGTAAATCTCACCTGAATATCTTCTCCACTTTCTCCTTCCTTCAGCACTGACTGAAATGAGGTATTTAAATAAGGACAAACGTGGAAGCAACCTAACTGTCCATCAGTAGATAAAGAAGATGTGGTAGACATACACGATGGATTATAATATTATTCAGCCATAAAAAAGAATGACATTCTGCCCTGAAACCGTAGAGCTCCTTCCATTTAGGTCTTCGATCCATTTTGAGTTTATTTTTTCATATGGTGTGAGGAAATGTCCTAATTTCAGTCTTACACATATAGCTGTCCAGTTTTCTCAGCACCACTTATTCTAAAGATTATCTTTTCTCCATTGCGCATCCTTGCCTCCTTTGTCATAGATGGATTGACCATTAGATTGCACTGCTGCTCGTCACCTCATACTTGACTCAGCCTGGCCGTGGCCTGCCTCTCCAGCTTCACCGTAAATTGCTTGGCACCTGGAACACTTTCTTGGTCAGTGCCACATGAAGGGACCTGCGTTTCCCTGAGAAAATCATGCTGTATTTTGCTTCTGGGCCTTAGCTCAGGCTATTTCCTCGCCTGGAATTTCCTTCCTCATTTCTTCCCCATGCAAATCATGCTTGTCCTTAAAAATCCAAACTAATCTTCCTCTACTCTTGGAAGCCATCTTTGGCTCCCGTGCACCCATACCCACCACGTTGCCCACCTCCCCTCCCCGGACAGTCATCTCAGACCGCCCTTCTCACACTGCAGTGCAACTGAGGCCCTCCTTGTCATCCACCCTGAAGGATGTCTCACTGACGGCTGCCTCCCAAAAGCCTAGCTTCATGCCCTGTATTCAGTAGGCATGCAGGGGTAGGACAGCAAACGATTAGAGTTTAAGCCATAGAATCAAAAGGATTCGACTCAAATCTCCATTCCACCACTCCTGAGCCCCGCAACCCTGGGCAAATCAGTTAGATGCCTGGAGTCTCAATTTCCCTATTCAATTTAGTAACAGATAATCCATTGCCACTGTGCTGATTCAAAGAGAGAGCTCTTCCAAACTGAGTAACACCGTGCCTGGCGACTAGAAGATGACCAGTTAATGCTTGGAAATACTGTACTTCAGAACTGGACTGGAATTAGACAGGCTTAGTTTTGAGTCCCAACGCTACCACTTACCATCTCTGTGACCTTAGGCAAGTCAGCCAGCCTGCTTGAGCTTGCATCCCCATCTAGAAAATGGGTTGAACACTAGGGTTTAAATCAGAAGAGTGTTGCGAATCTTGATGCTGAGCATGGAGGCTGGCACACAGTGAGCAGTCATCCTTCCCTACTTACTGTCCAAATAAAGAAGTAAGTGCATGTTTACTGAATGAAGCCTGCCAGGAACTCGGCAATGGGTACACACCTCTGCCTTTAGTGATGTGAAATTTCACCAGGAAAGCTGAAGTGAGGCCAGCCCAGAGTCAGACTGGGGTCAGACTCCCAGCTCCAGGCTCTGTAGGGACAGAGAGAGGGGTCAGAGCTTCCTGGGTGAGAAAGGGCCTCTGGCCCCCAGGACTTTGAACTTTACACATGCACCTTTCCCAAGAGTTGACCCTGGATCACCTGGGGCATTTCTGAACAGAATGTGGGAGGAGTGGGCAGGGAATGGAGCACAGATTTGGAAACAGACAGCTGTGGTGTGAGCCCACATTCTGGCATTGACTGCCTCCGTGGCCCTGGGCAAGTTGCACCACCTCTTGGAACCTCAGTTTCCTCAGTCTTTAAAGCAAGGAATATAAATGCAGTACCACCACCCCACCCAGGTCATTGCAAAGAACACACCTGCCTTTGGCAAGTTCAGGACACCTTGTAGGTATTCAGTGCGCTGCTGTTCCTCCCCTCTCTCTCCAGAGCACCCTGTCCCAGTTCATACACCAGGGCTGTGAGCTGGGCTGCAGTGCCCTTTAAATACACCATCTCCAGATTTGAAACTAACGGCACGTGGTGGGGACGGCTGGGAGTCACAGCGGTGTGGAGGAGAATATGGCTTCAAGAAAATAACATTTGGAGGTAATTATGGGAGCAATGGATCAGAACCACCATCAGCTGCCAGCCATCCCCAGAGATGGAGCAAGAGATGGAGGCAGAAGGTGGAACCTTTCCTGGGAGCCAGACTAGAGCATCCCTTAAAACTTCAGCCTGGCTTTAGTTCTGCCCTGAAAATCCTGGGCTCTGGCTTCATCCCCCTCGCTAGGATGAGGCAGGTTAGCTGTTCAGGGCTTCTTTCAGTTTTTAATACCAATAGGACACAAGGTATTTGATAGCTGTGCAAGATGGAAGAAGGAAATGGAATGAAATCTGAGGGCAGGTAGGGGAAGAAGCAATAAATGCATTAGCAGTGGAGAAATTAGAAAAAGAGACTGCATTCACTACACCTCTCACCTGTTGTAGTAGACACCTAATCTGTGTGCACCCTGTGTGGGGGCTACAGACCATACGAGGACCAGACCTGGCTCACGTGCACAGGTCACAAGAAGGAGGCTGGAACGTGTGCTTCCTGCTACAGTGGAGGCATCACGGCACAGTAAGGGACCATCATACAGCCTTCGGGCATCTGGAACGGTGTCTTTGAAGGGGCGCAGGCTGTCTGGAGTCTAACCTGGGTCTTGACCCTGGCAGAGGGCAGTGAAGCAGGCAGCAGGGGACAGAGCTGCCCCCGAGATGGGGACGGTACCAGAGGGACCAAGCTGAGGTCAGCTTCAAAGGACCTCACCCTGGATTCTCCCCGCTTCGGCGAGGCAGGCAGCTCCCTCTGGGTCTGATTCGGAGACCCTGGAAGCCCAAGGGCCCCACCCTGCGCCACACTCAAACCTTCCTCTGATGTCTTCAATTTGCAGGACTCTGAAAGGTTAAGACTAGTTCCTGCACAAAGCATGGGTTTGCTTTGCTTTTAAGACCAGTCATCAACAAAGACTTGCTGGGGACTCTGCACCCCAGCCCCCATCTAGTCCACAGGAGTGGCTTCGCTCCGGGCCCACACCTCTCAACCGCTCACCACCTCCCCGTCTGCTCCCGGGCCGCAGGAACTTGTAGACGAGGCAGGCACCCACTCCTCTGTCCTGTGGTGTGCCATCTGGGGCAGGTGAAGGACTCTCCCAAAGGGCCACGGAGTAACTGTGATTCCTTTTGTTTCCCTCTGGTGACTCGGGAGGCACAAGCAGGGGCTCTCACTCAAGGCCTGACAGCCCAGTGCTGGCGTCTCCACTGTCCATGGTGGTGACAGACCTCCTGGCTTACAAATAACCGCAGCCACTCACGTGCCAGGTGTCACAGAGGGATTCATATCATTGCATGTAATCGCTGCCCGCCCCGCGGCCCTGGCGAGTGGTTTTACCACCTACACTGACCGGGTGAGCAAACCAGACCCCGCACAGAGACATGCATTCCCAAGGGCGTGTGGCTAAGTGCCAGTTGAGGGTTGCAAACCCCAAGCTTCCTGATTTCCATGTGTGTGGTCTCTGGGTATGGGCCAGGTCATAGCTCACGAGCACGCTCTCCTCTCCTGATCCCCGGACTGAGCCAGTCAGCATCACAGCTCACAAAGAGACCATCTCAGGGCCCCCCAGGCGTGGCCAGCTCCTTTCAGGGCCAAGGGTGAGACTGTAGCTGGGGTTCCCAGCAGAGCAGAGGGGCTGAAAGAGTGGGGTTCTGCTCGCCCCCACTGTGAACTAGGACACCTTCCGAGTGCAAAATGTGCAGATGAGGCCCTTTGATAAGGACCAAATCCCCTCTCGT